CATCGTTACCCGGCCTGGCCTACATGTGACTCCAGACCCACGGCAATGTGGTTGACTTTTAACTGGTATCTGAAATGCACAAGAAAGCTACTCAGCTCGAGGACACTTTTGGAATACTGCATTCAATTCTGGTCTCCCTGCTGCAGGAAATATGTTCTAAACCTTGAAAGGGCTCAGATAAGATCTGCAAGGACGTTGCAGGGTCTGAGCTACAGAGAGAGGCTGAATAGGCCCTGGAGTGTCAGAAGCTGAGGGGTGCCCTTATAGAGGTTTAAAAACCACGAGGGGCATGGATAGGGTGAATAGTCAAGGTCTTTTTCCCAGGATAGGGGGAGTCCAAAACTAGAGGGCATAGGTTTAAGGTGAGAGGGGAAAGATTTAAAAGGGTCCTAAGGGTCAACTTATTCACACATAGGATGGTGCGTGTATGGAATGAGCTGCCAGAGGAAGTGGTGGAGGCTGGTACAATTACAACATTTAAAAGGCATCTGGATGGGTACATGAACAGGAAGGGGTTAGAGGGATATGAGCCAAATGCTGGTGAATGGGTCTAGATTACTTAAGGATATCTGGTCAGCCTGGATGAGTTGGACCAAAGGGTCTATTTCCATGTTAAACAACACTATGACAGTTAGGGCTTGGCAACAAATAGGTACAGGAATAGGCTGTTCAGTTCTTTGAGACTACTCTGCCATCCAATACAATCTTGGCTGGCTTCCCATCTCAACTCAACCTTCCCGCTTCATCCCAATTTCCCAAGGAAACACAAATCTGTCCTTGTCCTGAATAAACCCAACGGCTCAGCATCATGCACAGGTCTCCGGGGCAGAACTCCAAAATATTTGCCGTGGAAAATTTCCTCTTGTCTCCATTGTAAATAACCAGTGTCTTTAGTCGGAGCGTATGACCATTCTCACCTCACTCCTTATTCTAAGCTCCCGAACTAAGGGGAAAAATTCCAACAGCACCAACATAATTGAGTACCTTAAAAACATCACACATTTCAACTAGATTGTCTCTCATTCTCCCAACCTTCAGCAAAATAGAGGTCCATTCAACTCTGTCCCTCCTCAAAGGACAAGCACCTCATGATGGGAGCAATGTTGGATCTTAATTATACTCGCTGTAAGACAAGTAGAGTTCTTCCTTAGGTAAGTGACCGAAACAGTACTCTAGGTGTGGTTTTACAAAGGTTTGACATAACTGTTACAACTCTTCACTCTTGTACGCCAATCCATCTTTAATTAAATCTAGTATTTTAATTTTGTTCCCTAATTCTTTCTAGTGCTGTTGCTGCTTGTTAGCTCCTCATGACATCCATCCAAGGACAGCTAAATCCTTTTGAATACTAGCATTTTACTAGACTTCTGAATGAACCTCTCAAATTTTAAATTTAATGTTAATCTCGCTCTTTGTGCACCTTCTCTGCACCCGTAACTTTGTATTTCTCGCTCTGTTCTATTGCCCTGATGCACTTTGTATGGTATGATCTGCCTGTACTGCATGCAAAACAAAACTTTTCACTGTACCTGAGTACTTAAAACGTCAGCTAAAAGAATATTTAAGTAGTATTGGAATAAAAAACGAAAGAACTGAGGATGCTGTAAATCAGAAACGAAAACAGAAGTCGCTGGAAAAGCTCAGCAGGTCTGGCAGCATCTGTGAAGAAAAAATCAGAGTTAATGTTTCGGGTCCGGTGACCCTTCCTCAGGACTTTGTCAGTTCTGATTTCTCTCCACAGATAAGGCAGGGGCAGGTAATGGCCTGGTGGTATTATCACTAGGCTCTTAATCCAGAAACCCAGATAATGTTCTGGAGTCTTAGTTTCGAATCCTGCTGTGGCAGATGGTGGAATTTGAGTTTGATAAATATCTGGAATTAAGAATCTAATGATGACTGTGAATCCATTGTCAGGGGAAAAACCCATCTGATTCACTAATGCCCTTTTAGGGAAGGAAACTGCCATCCTTACCTGGTCTGGCCTACATGTGACTCCAGACCCACAGCAATGTGGTTGACTCTTAACTGCCCTCTGGGCAATTAGGGATGGACAATAAATGCTGGCCTGGTCAGCAACACCCTCATCCCATGAATGAATAAAGAGGAAAAAACAAAATGCTGCCAGACCTGCTGAGCTTTTCCAGCAACTTTTGTTTTCACTTAAGTATTGGAGCTGCTGTATGTGTACCCTCATCTATAAAAGTCAGTAAGGATTCAAGGTGCTGTATATGTAAGTGTGCAACTCCACCTGCCATCCAGCCTGAACGAGTATGCAAGCAGTACACACTGAACTCAGTTGCTCCACTGTTGTATCTACTTTATAACTTACAATGTGTTTTCTTGTTTTAAATCAACTAAACAGTGTGGTTAGTGAATCCCTGAAGAGTGGTCGATTCTCAGATCAACATCGGGGCAGGAGTTTGTAGATCACAGTGAGAGATACAGGGATTCAGATGAACAGCAGACTGAGTTACCTTGTCTCGGAGTTCCTCCGCCTGTTGTAGGTCCATGGCAGTGTTATGAAACTTCTGAACCAATTCCTGTCTGTCCTCAAGAGCTTCCTTCCGATCCTGATCCATGATATCCAGGAGAGCCTTCTCTGTGCTGGGGAGATTGTTTCTTACCTTTCGGAAGAATGAACAAGAGCTCGGAGTTTACTCCGACACAGTGAGCTCCATTTCCAAGGAGTGATGGCAGAGTTACCGGACTAATGACCAAAAGGTCCATACGCATGCCATGGGGGAATGGCTTAATGTGGTAGTTGGTAGAATTTAGATTCAATTATTTTTATTCATTCATAGGACGTGGGAGTTGCTCACTAGGAGCCAGCATTTAATACCCATTCTGAAAAGATTCGCTGGGCTCACTGGGGCAGCATGATGGCTCAGTGTTTAGCACTGTTGCCTTACACTGCAAGGGACCCGGGTTTGATTCCACCCTCAGGCAACTGTCTGTGTGCAGTTTGCACATTCTCCCTGCGTCTGAGTGGGTTTCTTCCGGGTGCTCCGGTTTCCTCCCACAGTCCAAAGATATACAGGTTAGGTGGATTGGTCATGCTAAATTGCCCGTAGTGTGCAGGCTAGGTGGGTTAGCCATGGGAAAGGCAGGGTTTGTAGGGAAGGATACTAGGTCTGGGTGGGATGCCCTTCAGAGGGCTGGTGTAAATTTAATGGGCTGAATGGCCTGCTCCCACACTGTAGATATACTATGACTCAAAATATTGACTCCGTTTCTCTCTCTCCACAGCAACTGTGTTTCTCCAGCAATTTCTGCTGGTTGCCCTTGAGAAGGTGTTGGTGAGCTGCATTCTTAAACTGCTGCAGTCAATTTGGTGTAGATAAACTCTCAATGCCATTAGGGAGAGAGTTCCAGGGTTTTGACCCAGCCACAGTGAAGGGAGGACAACGCATTTCCAAATCAGGATGGTGAGTGACTTGGAGAGGAACTTGCAGAGGGTGGTGTTCCCATGTATCTGCTGCCCTTGTCCTTCTAGATGGAAGGGGTCGTGGGTTTGGAAGGTGCTGTCTGAGGATCTTTGGTGAATTTCTGCAGTGCATCTTGTAGATAGTACACACTGCTGCTACTGAGTGTTGGTGGTAGATACGGTGCCAATCAAACAGGTTACTTTGACCTGGATGGTGTCAAGCTTCTTGAGTGTTGTTGGGGCTGCACCCATCCAGGCAAGTGGGGAGTATTCCATCCCACTCCTGACTTGTGCCTTGTAGATGGTGGGACAGACTTTGGGGAGTCAGGAGGTGAGTTAGTATTCCTAGCCTCTGATCTGCTCGTGTTACCACAGTATTAATATGGCGAGTCCAGTTCAGTTTCGGGTCAAAGGTAACCCTTGGGATGCTGATTAAAATGAATCAAACAATATCTCCATAAGGATGCTCCCTCAATCAGCTGCAATTACAATTATAGTCTATTTGACCAGGGAAATGATCAGAGCACAGGCCCAGCTGGATACAGTCAGCGTCAGCACATGTTCACTTCCCATTGAGGTCATTACAGTGAACATGGAATTTGGTTGTGGTCCTTCTCATTCACAGGGGAATGTGGAGTTGCTGACCACACTGGAGTTAAGTGTCAGACCTGAGCCACATTCTTTAGTACTTACAGCTGTAGCTCAGTGAGTAACGCTGCTACCACTTAAACCCAAAGGCTATGAGTTCATGTCCTGCTCTCAATCTTGCCTGACACTGCGTTGCAGTAAGATCCGGAAATCGGAGCAGGACAAGATCATTCAGCCTTTTCCACCAGTCAGTGTATTGACGTCTCATACAACTGTGACCTCAAGACCATTTTCCTGTTTCTTCCTTTCTAATTCCTTTAGGGGAGGTAGAACATTTAAAGATTCATGACAGGAGAACTCCTCTTTATCTCTGTCTTAAGCGAGGGACCACCACTCTCCCCTTGAAACTGTGACCCTCCCTCCCAGACATGGATTTTCCCCTTTGCTGGGGTACGTTCTCCCAGTATTTACCCTGTCTGGGCCCTCAGAACCTTTTATGTCCCAATAAGATTAAAAACTTTGCAGCAAATGGAGTGACGTTCACATCCTGTCGATTTCCCCATATCGAAGCTAATTACCTGCACAAAGTGTTGGAGCTCATAGACTGTGGTCTGTAACTGGTCATTGTCATGCTGCAGTTGTATGATGCTCTGTCTGCTCGGCATGTTCTCCATGTCTTTCTTCAGCTTGTGGGAGAGATTGCGGGCCATCAGACACTCCTCCTCGATTCCGTACAGTTTGCATCTCAACTGGTCAGTCTGGAAGAGAACTCAACAGGTTACACAAAGGTAAAGTCACCCCTGGCCTGACTCTTAGTCGAAAGACCAACAGCAACATGTGGTGTCCAACTCCCAGCTGACATTAATGCTCGACAAGTCAAGTGAAACCTGTCTTGTGGACTCTAAGTTTTGCTCTTAAAGGAAAAAATCTGTGGCGGTATGTTACTGAACACATTCACAAGAGTCTGCTAATGTTCTTTTATCAGAAAGAATAAAATGTGTCTTAAACAAGAAAAAGATGTGACACTGGACAAAAATGTTGGGAAGTTTTTTTTATGGTATTATGGTGGAAGGACTTTTTATTTCTTTGTTTTTCTAATTTATTCCTACGATTTTGTACTTTGGAAGGTCAGTAATGTTGGACTTTTTATTTGTAATTTTTTTCCCTAAGAATTGGTCCTCAGGGATCTGTAGCTAAGATGGCGCTGTATATGGCACCTTGTAAACTTTTCACCGTACTCGTGGAAACATGTGACAATAAACCCAATTCATCAGTTTATCTTGCTCAGGCTGGTATATTTACAATCAGGTGGATTCAATAGAATTTTGAAGAAAGGTCCCGACCCGAAAAGTCAACTTTCCTGCTCCTCTGATGCTGCCTGGCCTGCTGTGTTCATCCAGCTCCACACTGTGTTATCTCTGACTCCAGCATCGGCAGTTCTTACTGTCTCTAATTCAATAGATACATTGTCTTCCATGATTTCTTACTGGAAAGTTTAAGACTCCTGCTTCTTTCTCCATTATTCACACACTCCAACGCGCTGACTGACTTCCCTCTGGATTTTTCTGTGTATTCCTGGATGCCTGTGGGTAGCCAGCAGGACAGTTTTGTTCTATGTTTAGTGCTTCAAGCTATTAATCCCCATCTCTTCACTTACAGGGTTGTAAAACCTCATTAAAAATATATACAAACAGACACAACAAGCTGCAAAAAGCAAAAAATATTAAACTAGAACCACTGCTTCCTCTTGTAAAAGCACAAGTAAACATATAAATTAAACTTTGACCATTGTTTTTAACAATATCTATTAACCAGTGGCCAGGAACTGCTCCCATTCCTAACCCTAACCCTAACCCTAATCTAACCCTAACCCTAACCTAACCCAAACCCTGACCCTACCCTAACCCTAACCTAACCTTAGCCCTAACCCCAACCCTAATCTAACCGTAACCCAAACCCTAACCCTGACCTAACCGTAACTCTAACCCTAAGCCTAAGCCTAACCCTAACCCTAACCCTAACCCTAACCCAAACCCAAACTCTAACCATCCAGTAAGAGCACGAGAAAGCTACAAAATGGTGTTTTTTCTCATTTCCGTCATGCTGCCCCGCATATTCCCCCAATCTCTTATTCCCTCAAAGAATCATAGAGTCGTACCGCACGGAAACAGACCCTTTGGCCCAACCAGTCCATGCCGAACATAATACCAAACCTCACTAGTCCCACCTGCCTGCTCCTGGCCCATATCTCTCCAAACCTTTCCTATTTGAAATAACTGCACAGAGGCCGGTATCCAGTCACCAGATCACCCTTTACTTACTTGTACACAGTGAACTAGCATTGGTCAGCCTGCTCAGAATCAGGAGTTGCTGAATCCCCTGTTTAAATCTGTCACTGAGGGCTCGCTGATTGGCTCAGGTTAACAACCCCAATCAGAGTTCTCACAGTCTCGGACACAGTAAGGACTGGCAGATGCTGGGAGTCAGAGACAACAAAATGTGGAGCTGGAAAAGCACAGCAGGTCAGGCAGCATCGGAGGAGCAGGAAAGTCGACGTTTCGGGTCGAGACCCTTCATCGGGAATATAAGATCCACCTGGTTCCAATCACTAATGCATTTACTTAAGTGTCTTTTAAACGCTGTAACTGTACCCACATCCACTTCTTCCTCCGGAAGTTCATTCTACATGCGGACCACCCTCTGTGTAAAAAAATTGCCCCTCATGTCTTTTTTGAATCTCTCTCCTCTCACCTTAAAAATAGTATTGAAATCCCCCACCTAGGGAAAAGACACCAACCATTCATCTTACCTATACCCCTCATGATTTTATAAACCTCTATAATGCCACCCCTTAATCTCCCCTGCTCCAGTGAAGAAAGTCCTGTATTTCTCATTTAGACGGGTAACCTCATCTGAAAGCGTAACGTGTACCCTGCACTGCCTCAACGCTGCCCCTCAGAGTCCTTCCAGTTCCATCCAGTTAAACATTGGGAAAGCTGGAACCATGTTTGCAGTCCGTTGTCTGCCCAAACCAACGACAGCACCACACTCTGGAAACTAGAAGGCACTGTGTTCATTTTGAAGGCGCTAATTTAGCCTGTCAGTAGGACAGCCAATTCTACCCAATGGTCACCCTGTTGTAGGAAGGATATTATTGAACTGGAGAGGGTTTGGAAGAGCTTTACCAGGATGCTGCTGGGAAAAGAGGGTTTGAGTTATAAGAAGAGGCTGGATAGGCTGGGACTTTTTTTCACTGGTGCATAGGACATTGAGAGGCAACCTTATAGAGGTTTATAAAATCATGAAGGGCACAGGTAAGGTGAATGGCAAATGTCTTTTCCCTAGGGTGGAGGATTTCAAAACTAGGGTGCATATTTTAAGGTGAGCGGGCTAAGAATTAAAAATGACACAGGGGCTTTTTTCATTACACAGAGGGTGGTCCATGTGTGGAATGAACTTCCAGAGGAAGTGGGGGATATGGGTACAGTTACAACGTTTAAAAAACATTTGGATAAGGACATGAATAAGAAATGTTGGGAGCAATATGGGCCAAGTGCAGGCAGATGGGACCAGTTTAGTTTGGGATTATAGTCGGAATGGACTAGTTGGACCGTGCTGTTTGACTCAATGACTCTATGACCACGCTCCTGACCCCATTGACTCTGGTGATCACACCCAACACTATATCCCCAACATCTCCCCACAACCCCCACTCCCCCCAACCACCATGGACCTCTCCCGTTCTCATCACCCCTCCTCTAAGGATTTTGCTCTGGGTTATAGTGCTCCTGACCAAGCTGTGGACTGTGTTTATCAACCTGTTTCTGAGGAGGTCAGGCATTAACCCCCTTCCCAGTGTGAAGAAAAGATTTCAAAACCTTTTGAGCAAAAGAAATGTGCACCTTCTTACACGACTCCCCCCTGTAAGTTTATGTTTGTTTCATTCTTAAAAGGAGATATTCTTCGTTTGCTTTGGATGTGAGGCATTCCTCAGAGGGCACACAAGGTGGCGCCAATTCCTCTGTCATCACCAGCTCGATTCTCCATTGGCAGGTTCCATAAGGTCAAACTGGTCATGAAATAAAAGAGCTTCACAGCACAAACTATGCATTATCCATGGGTGCTATTTCTTCATTTTTTTAATGTATCTTTAGAACATGGGTGTCGCTGGCTGGGCCCAGCATTTATTGCCCGTCTCTAGTTGCCCCTTGAGAAGGTGGGGGTGAGCTGCCTCCTTGAACCGCTGCAGTCCTCCTGCTGTGGGTTGACCCACAATGCCCTTAGGGAGGGAATTCCAGGATTTTGACCCAGCGACAGTGAAGGAACGGCGATATATTTCCAAGTCAGGATGGTGACTGGCTTGGAGGGGAATTTGCAGATGCTGGTGTTCCTATGGAAATGCTGCCCTTGTCCTTCTAGATGGAAGTGGTCGTGGGTTTGGAAGGTGCTATTTGAGGATCTTTGGTGAATTTCTGCAGTGCATCTTGTAGATAGTACACACACTGCTGCTACTGAGCGTCGGTGGTGGAGGGAGTGGATGTTTGCGGATGTAATGCCAATCAAGCGGGCTGCTTTGTCCTGGATGGTGTCAAGCTTCCGGAGTGTTGTTGGGGCTGCACTCATCCAGGCAACTGGGGAGTGTTCCATCACACTCCTGATACATGTTATTCACAAAGAACTTTCACTCTCTCAACATCAATTCCTCCTTCTGTCCATCTCACTTCAAGTTTGTGGCCTCTTCTATTGAGCACCAAATGGTCATTAGTTTTTGGGAAGCAGTGTTTATATCTTAGCCTACATTGTTAATCATGCTGAAGGCTTCAATCAAGCCGATTGGTAAATTACAACATTGTCCAGTTTTCGAGGCCTTTTACTGTCTTAAGCCCACTCTCACACCAGTAGACTCACTTTGCACCAATGCCTCACTCATGATAACATTGAACTGATGGCTAACAAGACGAATTCCTGGTAGGTTTGAAGATTTTGGGGTCAAAAATCTGTCCTGGACCCCAAAATCTTTTAAAACATAATCAACTCTTTCATGGGATGCGGACATCGCTGGCAAGGCCCATTCGTAAACCAGATGTGTTTTTGTAAATACCGATGACCGTTTCATGCTGACCATTGCTGAGACGAGGTTTCGATTCGTGAATTATTGAATTTAAACCCCGCTAGCCGTCATCCGGAGGAAACAACCAGCAACACTGGAAATGAACACACTGCACTTCTATTAAAAAATATCGTCATTGTCCACGATAACTGACTAATGGGTACAATTGTAGGAAATTCCATGTCACTGATAATGAGTTCTGTGAGCCCTTCTGTGGCTGATGAGCCAGATCTCCCACCACACATGTGGCAGGTGTTTCCGGGAGGTGGAACTGGTCCTTGGCCTTGAGATCATTAGAATTCCTTTCACTGGTTCCTTTTCCCTACCTCCTCTTGCTGACGGATTGTCGTGTCCCTTCCGATTGGAGGTTCCCCCAAGTCGATTCCTTCTGAACAAAGGTGTCCCAAGCGTTGACATCTGTTTCTCAGGGAGCCTTTCAAATACTTCCATCGTCCTCCTCTCGTTCCAGTGCCTTTCTTGAGCTGGCTGAAGAAAATCCGCTTTGGCAGGTGGATCCAAAGTACATGGCTGGTAGATGGTGGACAGGCTTTGGGGAGTCAGGAGGTGAGTTACTCACCACAGTATTCCTAGTCTCTGACCTGCTTTTGCAGCCGCTGTGTTTGGCAGTTGGATCCGAAGCACGTGCCCAGTCTAGCGGAGTTGGTTTCGGATGATCCTGGTGCTACTGGATCCTTTAAGGACACTGATGTTAACTCGCCTATCATCCCCGCTGATGTGGAGAATCCATCTCAAACAGCATTGAAGTTCACAAGACACATTGGACCAGTATACCTCGTTCACCGGTTTTACTGGTTTATCGGGCTGGGATGGTGGGATTTGAACCCATGGCCCTGGACTATTAGCCAGGAACCTGCTAAATAATTAATCCAGTGACATTACCATTGGGCCATATCTCCCCCATTGACAGTAGACTTAAGCAAACTAAGACCAGATCAAGGTAGACAAACCTGGAAGAACACAGCAGGCCAGGCAGCATCTAGAGGAAAGGTGCAGTCAACGTGTTGGGTATTACCCTTCTTCAGCACAGTCCTGAAGAAGGGTAATACCCGAAATGTTGACTTCTCCTTTCCTCCAGATGCTTCCTGGCCTGCTGTGTTCTTCCAGCCTCCTGTTGGCCTACCTTGGATTCCAACATCTGCAGCTTTTTTTTTGTCCCTATAACTAGACCAAAGTGGGTGAGTGTTCAAACTGGCAAGGTATGCAGGAGACTGAGAGAGTATTCTGTATGGGAACAGAAAGTTGTCAGGGATGACATTATCACCCTGGATGACAGTAACTTGCTTTGATTTTGTTGTTTCCATTCCAGTTTTGTGAGCTTCCAAAGACAATTGTGAGAGAGATAGTAGGAACTGCAGATGCTGGAGAATCCGAGACAACAAGGTGCAGGGCTGGATGAACACAGCAGGCCAAGCAGCATCATAGGAGCAGAGAGGCTGACGTTTCGGGCCTAGACCCTTCATCAGAAAAGGGGGAGGGGAAGGGGGTTTTGAAATTGTCCGGAGGGAGGAGGGTAACTTCTTCAGGTTAGGCATCCTTAGAAGAGGCTTCGCAGTGGGGTTAAAATTGAATCAGAGATAGTAGGAACTGCAGATGCTGGAGAATCCGAGACAACAAGGTGCAGGGCTGGATGAACACAGCAGGCCAAGCAGCATCATAGGAGCAGAGAGGCTGACGTTAAAGACAATTGTGATTTTGTTTTTGTTACTGAGTCCCACTAGGGGGCTCCTTAACCTGAAATCAACCTCAGTTTTAGAAAAGTGAAATGGTTCCTGAGCCCGGGCTGAAGGGAAACTCAGAAATGACTGCCTGGCTCATCATCGACAACGTGCACCAAAATCACGGCTGGTGCTCCCAGGTGTAGGAAAATATGTCTTTAAAAATATTTTAGAATTAACAGGCACAGTGTATTGAAGCTGTAAAAGACCATATGCTCTCTTTCTCTCTCTCATAAGCTAATGCTTTTACATGTATACAAAAGCACACGCACACACTAATGCACACACACACTCACACACACACACACACACGTACACAAACACTAACACGCACACAAACACTAACACACACACAAACACACACACACTAACACACACACACAAACTGACACACACACTAACTCACACACTAACACACACACACACAAACTGACACACACACTAACTCACACAATAACACACACACACACAAACCGACACACACACTAACTCACACACTAACACACACACACAAACACACACACAAACACACACACACACACACTAACAGAAACACAGACACACATACACACACACGCTAACGCACACAAACACTAACACACTAACACTAACACAAACACACACACTAACACACACACAAACACTAACACACACACAAACACTAACAAACACACTAACAGAAACACAGACACACACACTAACACACAAACACTAACACATACAAACACACACACAAACACAAACACACACAAACACACACACACACACACACAAACACAAACACACACACTAACACAAACACATACACTAATACTAACACAAACACAAACACTTACACAAACAAAAACACACACACTAACACAAACACACAAACTAACACTAACACAAACACTAACACACACATAAATCCACAACAGCACACATACAGACACTAAGACACACATAGCACCCACCCACACACAGCCGCACACAGCCACACATACCTCCACACACAGATGAAGGCTGTGTGGGCCAGTGCATTATTTACTCTTGTACTGCAGTAACTACTTTAAACTATGTATTTGTTCTTTTCTTGAATGTAACCTGGTCGTAGCACAATCCTGTTTACGGGTCGCTTCTCTCTCATGGTGATAAGACAGAGCAATGAAGGATAACTGGTATCCTGACTGAAGAACTACACTGAGGCCTTGAGTACTGGAAAAACTGGGTGGCACGGTGGCTCAGTGGTTAGCACTGCTGCTTCACAGCACTGGGACCTGGGTTTAATTCCATCCTCAGGCAACTGTCCGTGTGGAGTTTGTATGTTCTCTCTGTGTCTGTGTCACAGTCCAGAGATGTGTATGTTATGCTAAATTGCCCTGTAGTGCCCCAGCTAAGTGGGTTAGCCCTGCTAAATAAGGGCATAGGGATGGGTGGGATGTGCTTCAGAGGGTTGGTGCAGATTTGATGGACCAAATGGCCCCTACGTGGACTGTAGGGATTCTATGAAAATATTAGTGAAGGCACAAATCAGCTAAAGTCTGCAAAGTTTTTCTTAAACGATGCTGGAATGCAATGTCTCCGTCACTCCAGCAGTGGAGGCCAGTAAAGACGTTAGAGGTGACACCCCAGACATTTATTTCTCTTTATTCCAGAGTGTCCCTGAACAGTATGGGATACGTTCTCCAGTGCATCTGGACAGTGCGTAGAACTATCTGGAATAGGCACAGGGCAGTGTCACCAATATTTACTCGCAACCGAAAAGAAGTTTAGGTTCCCGTTTGTAAAAGTTGAAAATGGGTTGTTGTGTTTCCTCAATGACTACATCTCATGGGCTGTAAAGAGTTTTGAAATGTTCTTTGATCTTGAAAGGCGCGATACAATTTCCTTTATAAATTCATGGGATGTGGGTGTTACTGGCTGGATTAGCATTTACTGTCCGTCCCTAATTGGTCCAGAGCTCAGTTAAGAAACCACCACCTTGCTGTGGGTCTGGAGTCACACATAAGCCAGGCCAAGTAAGGACAGCTGTTAGTCCTCCCCAAGGCCATGAGTGAGCCGAACGGGCATTTAATGACAATCGACAATGGTCACATGGTCATTATTCGGCAATTTTTTAAAATAAAAGTCCAGATTGTTGATTGAATTCAAATGCCACCATGGGGTCTGAAACCATATCCATCAGAACATTAGGCTGGAGCTCTCGATTATGAGTACAGTGGCAACAACCACCACTTTTCATAGAAGAAAGAGGCCATTTGGCCCACTGAGGCTGCACTGACCCTCTGGAGAGCATTCCACCCAGAACCATCCCCTCACCCTATCCCTGTAACCCTGCCTTTCCCATGTCTGAACCACCTAGCTTGCACATCCCTGGACACTATGGGGCAATTTCCCATGGCCAATCCACTCTAACCTGCACATCTTTGGACTGTGGGAGGAAACCCACGCAGACACGGGGAGAATGTGCAAACTCCACACAGACAGTCACCTGAGGGTGGAATCGAACCTGGGTCCCTGGCGCTGTGAGACAGCAGTGCTAACCGCTGTGCCATGGTGCTGCCTATAAAATTCAAATTTCACTACCTGTCTTTGTGGGATTCAAACCTATGTATCAGAACATTCATCCAAGTTCTGAGGTTACTAGACCAGTGACATTACCATATCTGCCCTACTGTCTAGTACAGTCAGAACAGAACAATGTGATTGTTGTCATGTGGTATACTTGCCTTTATTGGTCAGAGCATTGAGTATAGGAGTTGGGAGGGTCATGTTGTGGCTGTACAGGACATTGGTTAGGCCACTTTTGGAATAGTGCGTTCAATTCTGGTCTCTCTTCTCCAGTAAGTATGGGGCAGCAACATAATGAAAAATAATTAAACGGGCCTAAAGCAAATCTTAACTTAAATGAGGCACAGTCAAAGGTATAAAGAAAGACTTGAAAGGGTGCAGAAAACATTTACAAGGATGTTGGAGGGTTTGAGCTATAGGGAGAGGGTGAATAGGCTGGGACTATTTTCCCTAAGACTGAGGGGTGACCTGATAGAGGTTTTCAAAATTGTGAAGGGGCATGGATAGGCTGAATAGCTACGGTCTTTTTTCCCCAGGGTGGGAGAGTCCAAAACTAGAGGGCATAGGTTTAAGGTGAGAGAGGAAAGATTATAAAGGGATCTTAGGGCAACTTTTTCACACAGAGGGTGGTGCATGTATGGAACGAACTGCCAGAGGAAGTGGTGGAGGCTGGTACAATTCCAGCGTTTAAAATGGGTACATGAGTCGGAAGGATTTAGAGGGATATGGGCCAAATGCTGGCAAATGGGACGAGATTACCTCAGAGTACAACGGGACTTCGAACAAATTGGCTGATGGGTCGAGGAGTGGCAGATGGAGTTTAATCTAGATAAATGTGAGCTGCTGCATTTTGGAAAGGCAAATCAGGGCAGGACTTATACACTTAATGGTAAGGTCCTGGGAAGTGTTGCTGAACAAAGAGATCCTGGACTGCAGGTCCACAGTTCCTCAAGAGTGGAGTCCCAGGTAGATAGGTTAGTGAAGAAGGTGTTTGGTATGCTTGCCTTCATTGGTCAGTGCATTGAGTACAGGAGCTGGGAGGTCATGTTGCAGCTGTACAGGACATTGGTTAGGCAACTTTCGGAGTACTGTGGTTTAGTTTCAGATATCATGGACTGGTGGGGCCGAAAGGTCTGTATCCATGCTGCATGACTCTATGACCGTATGTGCAGGGAGTGTGGAGTTAGCCTCCAGGCTCTGTGCTAACATTAAAGGAAGGATCTACCACTCTGGCCGCTCACCTCCAGCTGGAGCTCCCGGCTCCTCGACACAGCCATGCTTTTCTCCTCGTTGAGCTGGGCGTAGCGCAGAGCAAGCAGGTAATTCTCCTCCTTAATCTTGTTCAGCTCATTGTTGTGCAGGTTAAACTCCTCCTTCAGCTTGCTGTAGCGCTCCTGAAGGTTCCTGAGCTCCAGGTGATCGTGGCTCAGCTGCTTGTTACTCTCCTGCAGCATCTCGCACTTGCTGTGCAGTTTATGGATCTCCACAGCTTTGTCCTTCAGTTGCTTCTGCACCTTGAGTGCCTCACTCATCAGGAACTGCGTCAGCCCCTCATAACCTTCTTCCACTGTGGGAACAGACAGAAGAATCATTTCACAACATCAATGGCCTGAAGGGAATCCTGCTGTCAATGTTATAGTCACCCTGGTTCATTGCCTTAATCTTCTACAAGTTCCTTTCAACCCAATGGATTAGTGACTAATGTGGGTGATCCAGCCTTTAGCTGCAACACATTAACATATTCAAGTCCTGTGATCCCTCTGGTAGACATTAGCTGATAATATCTGATAATGCTGATAATATTAGCAGATTAAGGTTAACTGCAGCTGACAGATATTAATGGAAGGTGTTTTACACAGAGGGTAGTGCGTGTATGAAAAGAGCTGCCAGAGGAAGTGATAGATGCATGAGGGATGACATGAGATTTATAAAACCACGAGCGGCACGGATAAGGTGAATAGTCGTGGTCTTTTCCCCAGGATGGGGGAGTCCAAAACTAGAGGGCATAAGTTTAAGGTGAGAGAGGAAAGATTTAAAAGGGACCTAAGGGGTAACTTTTTCACACAGAGGGTGGTGTTTATATGGAACCAGCTGTCAAAGAAAGTGGTAGATGCAGGTACAGTTACAACATTTAAAAGATATTTGGACAGGTACAGGGATAAGAAGGGTTTAGAGGGGTACGGGCCAAATGTAGGCAAATGGTATCAGTTTAGTTTGGGAAACTTGGTCAGCACGTATGAGTTGGGCCAAAGGGTCTGTTTCAGTGCTGTATGGCTCAAAGTCTTGGTGCACATATAAACAGAGGATAGCCGTGACACAGGGAGGAGAGGACGTAAGAGCTGTAAGATTGATTAAGTAAATAAACTCGCACAATGGAAAGCAACGTATCTTGCTTGCAGGCTCAGTTTGTAACACTCTCACCTTCTTTGTAAGAAGGCTGTGGACTCAAGTTCCATTCCAGAAACTGAGCGGAGAAATTCAGGTTGGTGGTCTATGGAAGTGCTGCACGGTCAGAGGCGTCTTTTTTTTGGATAAGGTGTTAAATCGAGACACTATCTGCTCTTTCAGGTGAATGTAAAACATTGTATGGTTATTCTGAAGAAGTGCAGGAGATTTATAAAACCAGAAGTACTGCGGATGCTGTAAATCAGGAACAAAAACAAAGTTGCTGGAAAAGTTCAGCAGGTCTGGCAGCATCTGTGAAGAGAAAATCAGAGTTAATGTTTCAGGTCCAGTGATCCTTCCTCAGAACTCAGAGGAAGGGTCACCAGACCCAAAATGTCAACTCTGATTTTTTCTTCACGGATGCTGCCAGACCTGCTGAGCTTTTCCAGCAACTTTCTGTTTTTGTTCAGGAGATTTATGTTTGGTGGCATTGACAACATTTATCCCTTAACCACCATCACAAAGGGCAGATTAACTCATCATTATCACATTGCTGTCTGTGCACGTCTGTGGTGTGCAAAAGTTGTTTCCTACACAATGTGACAGCAATTCAAGAGTACTTCATTGGCTGTAAAGTCCATGGGACAGGCTTTGTTCAGGAAGGATGCTACACAAATGCAAGTTTTCCACTGTCACCTTATGATGTGCCACATGCTGCAAGCCAACAACACCAGAAACATTTATCACAAGGAGAATACTACATTTCAGAATGTGAATGATGACTGGACTTCAATTCTGTCTTAAATTCAAATTAAATTCTGTTTTAAATTCAAAAAACGTTTTTGTTCAATTCTGTCTTTATGTTTAAGGTGTACAATGAACGTTTTTCAGGAACAACAAGCTGTGTTCCCTGACAACCCTGCTCCCCAAAAAGCTTCACATTGCACACGTACAGAGTCCTGCACATGCTCACTCAGTGAAACACATGGCAGCAATCAAATAAGCTGAATAATTATGAGTGAATGGGGCGGGGTGCTGTACTGGCCGGGGAACTGCACCCACTTGTTTTGCACATCTGCACGGAGAGAAATGCAGATTCCAGTCAAAATTCAATTAACTGTGCAGTTGTTTCAGCTCGTTTTCAACCTAACATTCCTTCAGAGCCCTTTGAGGAACCCAGTGGCGTAACGGTAATGAGGCAAGACTAGTTACCCAGACTAATGATTCACGGACTATAGTGCCATGGTGGGATTTAAATTCAAATAATAAAACCAGGAATTGAAAGCTAGTCTTGGTAATGTTGACCAGGAAGCTATCACTGATTGTTGCAAAAACCCATCTCGTTCACTAATGTCCTTAACAGATGGAAACTGTCATCCTTACCTGGTCTGGCCTACATGTGACTCCAGACCCACAGCAATGTGGTTGACTCTTAACTGCCCTCTGGGATGGGCAAACAAGCCACAGTGTTGGAGTAGGTGATGACCAAATGGTATTAACGCATGATTTGTTAATCCATACGCCTGGGTAATGTTCTGGGGAACACAGGTTCAAGACCCAACACAGCAGATGGTGGACAACAAGGTGCAGAGCTGGATGAACACAGCAGGCCAAGCAGCATCATAGGAGCAGTAAGGCTGACGTTTCGGGCCTAGACCCTTCATGAATTCAATAAAAATCTGGAATTAAGAGTCTAATGATGACCATGAATGCATTCTGGCTCGCTGGAAAAATCCATCTGGTTCACTAACGTCCTTTAGGGAAGGAAATCTGCCATCCTTACCTGGACCGGCCTACATGTGACTCACATCAAAGTGGCTGGCTTTTAGATGTCGTCTGAAATGGCCAAACAAACCACTCAGCTGGAGTAGGCAATGGACTAGTGGTATTATAGGATGGGCAATAAATGCTGGCCCAGCTAGTGACGCCCATATCCCACGAATGAGTAAATAATCAATGCCGTAGAACACATTCCAGAGCCTCTGTGGCTGAATCCCATATCTTGAATCGGAATAAAAGAAGTTGATTCAATATTTCAAATTCATCCTCCAGAATTTCAACCATGTATATACAACTTTTAGTACAGGTAGACCATTGAGCTACTCTGACGTTCAATAAGATCATGGCTGACCCGGTTATGATCACAACACTATTTTCCTGTCTGTCCCCAGCTCCTCCCAATAATCCTTGACTCAGAAATAGTAGGAACTGCAGATGCTGGAGAATCTGAAATAACAAGGTGTGGAGCTGGATGAACACAGCAGGCCAAGCAGCATCAGAGGAGCAGGAAGGCTGACGTTTCAGGCCTAGACCCTTGGAACCCTGGTCTATTGGGATTAATTCCCTTCCTTTTGCAAGCATCTTGTGCTGTAGGAGCTAGCACTCTAACAGTTTCACATTAAGAGAACAAATAGTTCTAAGTGGTTTCTACTTTAAAGTCTTATTAGTTGCTGTGCGCAGTCAGAAGAAGAAATTCTAGGAGTCAAACAGCGCAATTAATAGTGCAGTTTGGGCTTAATGAGAAATCAAGGCTAGTTGGATTGCTCTGTGCAGTACGAACTTTGGTGAAGGTTTTCGGAATAACTACATGGTCAGTATTCAGAAAAAGGACTCAAGAGAAGCTTTTCTTAAAATTCATTCACGGGGCGAGGGTATCACTGGCCAGGCCAGCATTTATTGCCTATCACTAATTGCCCAGAGGGCAGTTAATAGTCAACCACATAGCTGTGGGTTTGGAGTCACATGTAGACCAGACCAGGTAAGGATGGCAGATTTTCTTCCTTAAAGGGTATTAGTGAACAAGAGGTGATATATTAGCATGGATAGAGGATTGATGAACTAAAATGGGATAAGGGAGACATTTCCAAAATAACAACTGTTTACATACAATATATATTACTAACTTGAATGAGGAATGTGAACTTGCTATTGCCAATTTTACGATAATAGGCAGGCAAGTGGTGAGGACGGCATGGAGCAATACAGACAGGTTATGCGAGTGGGCACAAACTTGGCAGATGGAATATAATGTGGAGAAATGTGAGGTTATGAACTTTGGCAGGAAGAATACGGAAGGTCAATATTATTTAAGTGGAGAGGGACTACGGGAAGCTCCAGAAGACAGGTTCGGGAGGTCCTTGTGCATGAATCACAAGAAGCTAGTGTCAAGTTCAGCAGGTAACAGGGAAGGGAAATGGAATGGAGTATAAAAATAGGGAACAAAAACAGAAGTTGCTGGAAAAGCTCAGCAGGTCTGGCAGCATCTGTGAAGAAAAAAGCAGAATTAACATTTCGGATCCGGTGGCCCTTCCTCAGAACTGACCTCAGAATGTCACCAGACCCAAAATGTTAACTCTGATTTTTTTTTTCACAGATGCTGCCAGGCCTCGAGCATTTCCAGCAACTTCTGCTTTTGTTCCTGTTTTACAGCGTCCACAGTTCTTTCGGATTTTATAAAAATGAGGAGTTTTTGCCTAAACTATACAAAGCACTAGTTAGACCACAGCTGCAATACTGTGATCAGTTCTGGGACCCTTTATCTAAGGAAACATAAACTGGCATTGGAGGCAGTCCACAGTAGGTTCACTAGGCTGATTTGGTTTAGAGAGGGACTTAAGAGGAGATGTTGAGTAGGTTGGGCCTGTACTCAGCGGAATATAGAGAAATGAGAGGGGACATTATTGAAACATATGGGATTCTTAAAAGACTTGACAGGGTGGATACACAGAGGTCATTTCCCCTTGTTTGAGAGTCTAGGACCAGAGGATGTAATCTGAGAATAGGAGGTTGTAAAAATAAGACAAAGCTGAGGAGGATTTTCTTCTCACAGAGGGTAGGGAATTGATGAAATTCATTACGGATGAGGGCTATCAAGGCTGGATCCTTAAGTACATTCAAGGCTGAGGTAGATTTTTAATTAGTAAAGAATGAAGGGTTATGGAGAAAAATGGTTTGGAAGATTATCTTTGTTAACCATGGTCATGGTTGATAGGCCTGATCTCTTTGAATGATGGAGCAGACTGATGGGCTGAATGGCCAACTTCTACTCGTACACCTTATCATTTTAAGACTGTACAACATCATCTTGGTGGGTATTGCTTATGGTATTCCTCAGTATTAACCCTTTCAGACCCATGCACAGCAGAACAAAGCATAAAGAAAAGGCATTGGAACTGGGATCCTCAGAAAGCAAAGCTTAGAGTCTCGA